TAACGACTTATCGTGATCTAAGAGATATCACAAAATTAGTTTAAAGGCTAATGTTAAATTTAACACTCGTCAATATTGTTACTTTAAAATTAACTTAAAAACGCTAGGTGTAATTAAACCATAGTCCATCATTCAAGCCAGTTAAATTGTTTTCAACCAAACTTCAGACTGATCAAATTATTAATTTCTTTTTTTTTTTGGAATAAAAAATGTTCAGAAATAGCGCTAATCTTGTGACCTAACAAATGAGACATGCAAATTATTCTAACTGAGAGTAGCATTTCCTTTTTTTTTTTTTTTATTTTATATATTCGAATATATAAGAGAAACCAAATGCAGCTGTATGTCAAATCAAAAAAAAAAACAAACAAACAAATATTACAGAAATAATAAAAGTGAAAACTACATTGACCTCAATATGAACAGCATCAATGTTTATTTTTTACTAGCGAGTACCCAGCATGCGTTGCAATGGCACTCAAAGAAAGAAAGTGTTGGCATGTTAATTATGTTTCTTCAAGAGCTTTTAAATACTCAAAGTTTTTCTTGTTTTTCCATCAGGTATATACACAAATAAATCAGAAGATTTTCCGACGCGAGAGCAGGCCACATACATCTGTACATGGGCGAAGCATGGGTTTTCCAAATTTAGTCCGCAAACTTGTAGCGATTGTCCCTGTGCTTTTAGATAGTCATTGTAGATGCGTGTCGCATCGGAAACTGTAGGCGTTTGAATTCAAATGGCATATCTGTTGGAATCATTGGGGTGAATGGCAAAAGTACATCACCTAGTTTAAATTTTCCATTTAAAATAGTAACTTAAATGGAACCAATTTCGGAAGATTCATTTGAGCAAATGTACCGTACCTAATGCTTCGATATCAAAGTGCGTTTCTCGTTGCAAATCAAGAGCGAAAATTTTGTTTGCAGATCAATTCCGATAGGTCATTCCCAACTCATGAATCATCAATCGATATGAATAGTATTTCATGGCACTGACTTTCTTATTCGAATTTCTCAATTTGATGTCAAAATGATATTTATTTATTTATTTATTTAGGCATTTTTATATAGCGCTTATCATAAAGCTCTAAGCGCTTTACAATTATTAAAACATGTAAACTAAGTAAATACAAATGAGACACTAGGATAGTAACTACTATTCTATAGAAACAATGAAAATGGCTATAAAACGAGGACACTTTGAAACTTCAGGATCAACCCGAAACAGAAAATGAGGTAGGGCAAGGAGGGTGCATCACAGGTCATAGGCGGACCTAAACTGATGAGTTTTAAGGGACTTTTTGAAAATGGACGAGGTTTCACTATGACGTATATGGAAGGGGAGCTGGTTCCAGAACTTGGGCCCATCTTCTCCTTTCCAAAATAAAATAGGATATTGCAATCAATCGTATGAGCGATGAGTTTCTGAGACTAGCTGAACATCCCCACTTCTGTGATGAAGAATTATATCACGTGAGTTAAAATCTTCACCAACTATAACGATCGCCACTTCATCAATTGTTGGTGCATTGTATTGTCTTTCATGTTGGCCGAGAGGTGTTTAGTCTGCTCTAACTATGACTTTGTATTCATCAGTCGGCATCTTTTCAAGTGCAATTATATACATTTGAATTAATTCGTTGTGTTTCAAAAATAACGTTTACATTGCAGCAACGAATTCTCGTTTATTGCCCGTATTGATATGACAACTTTGATTGATTTGTTCATCAGTATTCCCCATGAAATCATTTAAAGACATTTGTTATCTGTGTTTGGCATTGGCATCAGAGATCCTTCATGATGGTAAATTTGGCCTTGCACTTTACTTAAAATGTTGGCATGCAATTCTCGCGCACGATATTTGTTGCACCCAACGATGTCATTTGGAAACATGAATTGCACTTACGTATGTTTGCCAAGAAATGTTTCGATTGGCTTGTTTCACCTGATACCAACGTTGATAATGGTTCCGATGGTGAATGTAATTCTGGCAATTTCATTGGCCCATCCGCGCAGCAAATTCCCGGTGTTTCGTTTTTAAATTTGAGGGCACTGCAATACACGCATAATTGATCTATTTTTCCAATAACCATTCTTGGATTAAGACTGTAATCATAATTAGCATCGTAATTGAATGCACTAAGATTTAATTCAGCGTGCAGTGTTCGTCTGAATCGAGCAGTGCGTACTCTATTGGAATCCAGTCTTGTTTCGCGCTGCTCGAATGATTCAGACAAACGGGTTTCAGCATTGCTTACTCGGCCGGTTTTGATTCTTGGTTTCCGTTGCTCGACTGTTTCAGGTGAACGGTATGAAGCATTGCGTACTCGAGTGGATTCTATTCTTGCTTTCCGTTGCTCAACTGTTTCGAAAGATCGGAACTACTTTTCCTTTCGTATTTGAGGTTTAGATTGACCCAAAACTTTTTTGTGTGGCATAATTGATTTGACAGCGAAATTATTGCTTTGTGACATATGTTATTAGCAATGGTATTTCAATATTAACACAACTTGTTAGGTCAGAAACATAAAGACTTAGGCCAGTGTCAACTTTCCTCACTTTCCTGTCTATCTCTCTGAACTGTTGCTTCCTTACATCCCCACAAGACAACTACGCTCTTCCAGTGATAATAGAACTCTCTCAATCCCAAGAACAAAAACTAATACCATCGGTGAACGCTCCTTCTACTTCTATGGGCCCACGTTCTGGAACCAGCTCCCCTTCCATATCCGTCATTGTGAAACCTCGTCCACTTTCAAAAAGTCCCTTAAAACCCATCTGTTTAGGTCCGCCTATGACCTGTGATGCACCCTCCTTGCCCTGCCTCATTTTCTGTCTTGGGTTTATCCTGTAGTATAGGCCAAAACATGCCAAAGTGTCCTCGTTTTATAGCCATTTTAATTGTTTCTATAGTATAGTAGTTACTATCCTAATGTCTCATTTTTATTTTATTTAGTTTACATGTTTTTAATAATTGTAAAGCGCTTAGAGCTTTAAGGTAAGCGCTATATAAAAAATGTCTAAATAAATAAATAAATAAATATATATATATATATATATATATATGTTTCAATGTACCCGTGTGTCCAAACAATCATCCATTCATCCATTAAGCTGTCACACTGCCATCATATATCTTTCTCTCTCTCTTTTAAACCAGGGATGCCAAATCAAAACTTTTTAAACATGGAATTAGCATTGTCACTGAAAACCAGGGTGAGTTTATCATAGTCACTTAAGAAAAGTTGATTTTTACATTGTCACCGAAGAGAAAGTTGAGTTTTACATTGTTTCTGAAGACAAGGTTGAGTTTAACATTTTCATTGAAGAAAAGGTTGATTTTAAAAAAAACACTAAAGAGAAGATTGATTTTTACATTTTTACTGAAGACAAGGTAGAGTTTAACATAGTCACTGAAGACAAGGTTGAGTTTAACATAGTCACTGAAGACAAGGTTGAGTTTAACATAGTCACTGAAGGCAAGGTTGAATTTAACATAGTCACTGAAGACAAGGTTGAGTTTAATATTGTCACTGAAGAGATGATTGAGTTTAACATGGTCACTGATAACAAGGGTGAGTTAAACATTGTCACTGGAGACAAGGTTAAGTTCAACAGAGTCACTGAAAACAAGTTTGAGTTTGACATTTTTATTGAAGACAAGATTGAGTTTAACATTATCTCTGCAGAAAATGTTGAGTTTTACATTGTCACTGAAGACAAGGTTGAAATTAAAATGGTCACTGAAGTCAAGGTTGAGTTTAACATTATCACTGAAGACAAGGGTGAGTTTAACATTGTCACTGAAGACAAGGGTGAAATTAAAATTGTCACTGAAGTCAAGGTTGAGTTTAACATTGTCACTGAAGTCAAGGTTGAGTTTAACATTATCACTGAAGATAAGGGTGAGTTTAACATTGTCACTGAAGATAAGGTTGAGTTTTACATTGTTACTGAAAACAAAGTTGAGTTTAACATTGTCACTGAAGACAAAGGGTGAAATTAAAATGGTCACAGAAGTCAAGGGTGAGTTTAACATTGTCACTGAAGACAAGGGTGAGTTTAACATTGTCACTGACGACAAGGGTGAAATTAAAATGGTCACTGAAGTCAAGGTTGAGGTTAACATTGTTACTAAAGACAAAGGTGAGTTTAACATTGTCAATGAAGTCAAGGGTGAGTTTAACATTGTCACTGAAAACAAGGTTGAGTTTAACATTGTCACTGAAGACAAGTATGAAATTAAAATGGCCACTGAAGTAAAGGGTGAGTTTAACATTGTCACTGAAGACAAGGGTGAGTTTAACATTGTCACTGAAGACAAGGCTGACATTAAAATGGTCACTGAAGTCAATGGTGAGTTTAACATTGTCACTGAAGACAAGGTTGAGTTCAACATTGTCACTGAAGACAATGGTGAGTTTAACATTGTCACTGACGTCAAAGGTGATTTTAACATAGTCACTGAAGAAAAGTTTGAGTTTAACATGATGACTATAGACAAGGACGTGCTTAAATTAGTCATAGTTTACTTAGATAAATCCTGCAGTCCCCATAACTTGGTTGAATGCTACTTATGCCATGCAATCAATTAAAATTCATACAATTGTTGTAGATTACCAGGTTTTCTTGTCTGAGAGCGACTTGCCTCACACTCATAAAACCATCCACAATCCTTCTAAAAATATGTTGTAAATATTATCAGTGGGACGTAAGTCTGATTGGTTCGTCTACAGTGTTCTCTCCCTTAGTACTATTTAAATATTTATTAAAATCATGTTTTTTTTCACTCAAAAAATTAAATTAAATAATTATGTGAATATCTTTTTTTTAAATTGAAGAGCTTCTTATATACCATCGTTATCATTCTGTATATGTATTTGACCTCTTTTTTTTTGTGATTTTTTTTTTTTTTTTTTTTGTTTTTATTGTTTTTTTTTTTTTTTTTTTTTTTTTTTTTTTTTTTTTTTTTGTTTTTGGGTGGGGGGGGGGGGGGGGGGTGTGTTACATTTTTTAGGTCTTGTATCACTAACAGGCATTCCCATTGTTTATCCTGTATTTCGCATCCACAACTCTTAACCCTTTCATTGAAACTTGCTCCATGTGTCAACCTCTAGGTTCCCGTCCACAGCTCTTACCCTGCTCTATGGTCAGTCCTGCAGCAACATGGAACATGTCTCGGCCCAAAGGATTCTGGAACATTTTTGAATGGGATTCGCTTTTGTGTCAGGAAGCAGCCCGTCTGACGTCAGAGTGGACACTCCAATGCCTTACAAACACCAGCGTCCATCTCTTCGGGGATTCTAATACCGTTAAGATGTTCAATGATTTACTTGCGGTCACCAAGTGCACCAATATGACCGGTGTACTTGAAAAAAGGTGTTGGTGTTTTATTCCTGATAGAATCCTGAACCTGTCGTACACCCAACACGAGATGCCCAAATATGGAAGCAATAAGAGGTCACTGACCGTGGCCAGTGTCGCGTCAGCCCTAGACGCTCTCTCGTCCAGAGGTCGTCACGTGATAATAGTCCACTACTACCTGCACTACACAGCTGCCCATTTGACAGCCGTCTATCAACGTCTCAAGTCTGTCAGGGAAGCCATTGATCGCCTGGTGGCTAGAAATAACGAGGTTTACATTGGTATCAGGGGTCCCCACGTCACATACCAGGGCTGGACACAAAACCAAGCCATTGGAGGTGACCCTATGGGAACTATGCTAATCGAGATTATTCAAACCATCTTCAAAGGACTCGAAGACAAGGTTGTGTTCTTGGACGGCTGGGATATGTCTATAAGTAAAGAGAACTACAGCATTCATCCTTCATCTTACTTTGGAAAAGCAATGATCAAGACCTTACTGTCTTACGTCTGTGGTTAACTTGTTGACATTTTTATTGTTAACTTTTGCAATAAAACTTTTTGAAGGGCTTTTATTTCATATTTATAGTGAGCTATTGTTAATAAAGATATCGTATTTATAGTCAGCCATTGTTGATATCATATTTATAGTCAGCTATTTTTAATATTGATATCATTTTTATAGTCAGCTATTGTTAATATGATATCATATTTATAGTCAGCTATTGTTAATAAAGATATCATATTTATAGTCAGCTTTTGTTTATAATGATATCGTATTTAGAGTCAGCTTTTGTTAATAATGAACAATGTATTTGAATCATTATTTTACCACTTTTTTTCGTAGTTTTTGAACAACTTGAACCCAAGATTTGGTCATAGTGTAGAGATGAATTTGCTATTTGTGCCTGGTGTAGAGTTGAATTTGCTATTTGTGACTGGTGTAGAGATTATACATATAACGTGATTTTTTTGCGTAAACTTTCTATTAAAAAAAAGTAAAAATGGTTACAATTCGTAAGCTTATATATTCTAAAAACATTAGACTGGATATTTTGTTTAGTTCCTGTCAATGTATCTTTGTTTGATCAATATTCTAGATCATAATCAGTGGTTCTCAATTTTATAAATTTTGGCGGACTTGTTGATAAGTTAGGAGATGGCACAAAGGACTGATGCCAGATACATTAGTTACCACTATTACAACTATAAGAGATGACTCTGTTAAATATTATCACCATTACCCCTAGAAGAGGGGATTCTGTTAACTATTACCATTTAATGCATTACGATTAACTTTTTTTTTAAAAGTTGCAGTCTAACTTTATTTAGCTTTGATCAACTTAAGTATCGGGTTTTTTAAGGTTTAGTTGTTTTGTTGTTTTTTGCGGACCGGCAACATAAGACTCGCGGACTGGTGCCTGGCCCGCGAATACCATGTTAGTGTCCTAGATGACTGTTGGTGAGCAGATAGCTGGGATGGACAATGCGCTCGCTGTCTCGTAAACCGTCGCAGTGTGTTCGTCGCATGTCTTCATGATGTCATAGGCGCACTGGAGACCTATTGTGGCACTCTCGCACGTGACCTGCTGCATCGTCTTGACCAGCAACTCCTTGGTGAAATCGTACTTGGAGGTGATGCATGCCTGGAGGTCAATGGCGTGGTACTTGGTCAGCTGGACGATGCAGTCGAACTTGAGGCTCGGGTCATCACATATGATGTCCATGGTCTTGGCGGTCTGAATCATAGAGGCGTTGATCTTTAGAGCTCCCTCTAGTAGAGAGACAAAATGTCGCGGGAGGGGTGGGGGAGGGGGTCGATCATTAAATTGATGGGAAGGAATTTGAAAGAAAAATATTTTAAAAAATGTTTGTTATAGTTATAAATGTTAATTTTTTTTCCCATGGCAGCGGTTCTGAAAACATGGAAAAAAATACAGGTTTTAGAAAGGATTTCATCGAATTTTAGATTGATAACTCCTTAAGGATTGCATTGAGACTGCAAGATTGACAGTTTTTTTTTGTTTAATTACAGCATACAAACTGTGTGTTGAGCAGTTGTGTGTTACATATTGGACGTAGCCAAAGATTTTAGAGGGATTATAGCAATCGCTCGTAAGTAATTAAGGCGTAACTAGGGGGTAAGAGGGAAACATGCACCCAAAACTAAGCTAAATAATTTTTTAAGGTGATTTGCAGAGCCCAATAGCATGGCAGAGAATTGAAACTTTTCTTTAAAAATAGATGTAAAGACACACTAGTTCGTGATGATAAAAGGTTTCAATCAAAAAGGACAGAAATGCTGTGCAATGTAGGTCACAAGATGCTGTCCCCCGAGTAGCGCAGCACCAGGTTTCTATAAAATTAGTAGACAGACAAGTAATGTAGGTCAAAAGATGTAGTCCCCCAGGTTATGTTGTTGTTCGTCCGTCGAAGTCGACTAGGACCATCGAGTCATCCGGTTAGGGGGAGGTTGGATTACGGTGAGCTCGTATGTGGCTTGCTAGACCGATCCTTGCTCGGAATAATCTATGACACCGTGGGCATGGAATAGTTGCTTCAGACGGTGACCTAATGTTGCTCTTTCGGACAAGCCTGCGTGTCTCAGCAGTGGTTATTCTATTAGCTTCATGGGATTTAGCTCCCTTCTTGATAGCAGCTCTCCACCTAGCTCTGTCCTGGGCTGTCTGCACCCATTGAGTAGGGCTTATGCTGAAGACCAAGTGCCACTTTCAGTGAGTCTTTGCAACGCTTTTTGTGATCTCCTTGGGAGCGCTTGCCTATCGTGATTTCTCCCAAGAATAATTGCAGCACAAGGGTTCAATCAAACAGGGCAAAATGCTGTGCAATGTAGGGCACAAGATGTTGTCCCCCAGGTACCGCAGCACAAGTTTTCCATAAATCAGATGACAGACAAAGTAATGTAGATGGAATGTAGGTCACAAGATGTAGTCCCCCAGGTACCGACCGCAGCACAAGGTTTCCATAAATCAGATGCCAGACATGGAACGTAGCTCACTATATATGTAGTCCCACAGGAATCACATCACAGGGTTTCCATAAATCAGACGACTGACATTCAATGTAGGTCACAAGATGTAGTCCACCAGGTACCGCCACGTCAAATAGTATCGACATCAAAGGCTTTATCCAAGTTGTACAATGGACCAATGTAGACGACTTCGAAATGTGGCATTTTATACTAGATAACTAGAGTGAAACTAGACAGCGATAAAATAATCATTATACAATGAGCAACTAAGCTTTAACACAATTAATTTATACCAGGGGCAACTAGAACACGACATAATTAATTTATACCATGGGCAACTAGACCTCCACATAATCAAATGTGTACAGTTGAAAGTGCGGCCTTGTGGGACCAGGGCTACAGAATGTATGGAAAAGTACTGTAAGTGTAGAACCTTGACATGGTGTACAGTTGACTTGACTTAGTGTACAACTGACTTGACTTAGTGTACAACTGACTTGACTTAGTGTACAACTGACTTGACTTAGTGTACATGCGACTGGACATGCTGTTCAGCCTATGTGACTGTACAGCTCACTTGACGTGGTGTACAGCTGACTTGACTTAGTGCACGTGTAACTTGACATGTTGTTGATCTATCGGACTGTACAGCCAACTTGACGTGGTGTACAGCCGAATTGACCTAGTATACAACCAACTTGGCTTTCCGTAAAGCCAAACTGGCTTGGAATACAGCCGACTTGACTTGGATTACAGGCAACTCATCTTAAAGTTCAGTCGACTTGACTTATTGTACATCCGACTGTTTGACTTAAGTAAAGAATTACACTTACCCTCAAGTTGACAACGATTGAAATTATCAGCGATACAAAAAGTGGATTTGGTGTAGCTGTCTCTCTTGTCACAAAAAAGTTTCAAATCCTGAAATGACAACAGATTGTGTTGATTACTTTGACAAGTTCACTGTAAGTTTTAATTAGAAATTTTTAAAATGTTTTTGAAAATCTGTTTTCGTCTAAATTTACAATTAGTGTAGAGCAGGCCCGCACAACATACGGCCCGCGGGCCACATGCAATCCGCCAGCACCCAATTTGTGGCCCGCAAAATAACGAAATAATGTTTAATATTATTATTTTCATAATAGCTTTCCCCCCCGTCCTATTTTCCTTTGGCCCGCACAAGTCCTGTCTTGTTTTCTTTTGGCCCGCCCAAGTCCTGTCTTGTTTTCTTTTGGCCCGCACAAGTCCTGTCTTGTTTTCTTTTGGCCCGCACAAGTCCTGTCTTGTTTTCTTTTGGCCCGCCCAAGTCCTGTCTTGTTTTCTTTTGGCCCGCCCAAGTCCTGTCTTGTTTTCTTTTGGCCCGCACAAGTCCTGTCTTGTTTTCTTTTGGCCCGCACAAGTCCTGTCTTGTTTTCTTTTGGCCCGCACAAGTCCTGTCTTGTTTTCTTTTGGCCCGCACAAGTCCTGTCTTGTTTTCTTTTGGCCCGCACAAGCCATGTCTTGTTTTCTTTTGGCCCGCACAAGCCATGTCTTGTTTTCTTTTGGCCCGCACAAGCCATGTCTTGTTTTCTTTTGGCCCGCACACGTTTTTCATAAAGTATTACGGCGCGCCTTACATTTTGAGTTGTGCTGGCCTGGTGTAGAGCATGGCCCCCAGAACGTCACCGTTTGATGTGTACGGATTATCTCTTGAAAGATGTGCATCCACAAGTGTGTACATAGCTACTCCATCAGACGTACGGATTTCATATATTTAGATACATAGGTATACATGTTTTGAAATGTGTATAATCTGTTTTAAATGTGTATAATCTGTTTTAAATGTGTATAATCTGTTTTAAATGTGTATAATCTGTTTTAAATGTGTATATTTTATGTTTTAAATGTGTAAATGTAATATTTTTCAATGTGTTTATTTTATGTTTTAAATGTGTACATCTAATATTTTTTGGTGTGTATATCTATATTTTTTAAATGTGTGTATCTAATGTTTTTAAATGTGAATATTTTATGTTTTTAATTGTGTATATGTAATGTTTAAATGTGTATATTGTAAGTTTTAAATGTGTATATCAAAGATTTTTATATCTAAATGTGTATTTATTTTTTATCGGTGTTTTGAAATGTGTATGTTATATATTTTGTTATGTACATATCTTATGTTTTTAAATGTATACTTCTTATATTTTATGCTTCCAAATTGGAATATCATATGATTTCAAAACGCCCCTGATATTTTTTTATCATTTATCAATTCCTTGTGTCGCGCCTTAAGGCGTTCTGTTGCTTTGAGCTCCAAGAATGTTTTTTGAAAGATTTCCTGACACCCTTACATGTAAACTCATATGGTTAGTATGTATTCCTACCCACCGAAATGTTTCCATAGATTCGCCAATGAAAAAACCCAACTTACTCCGTCGTTAAGACCCATGGCACCGTTGTTCAAGGTTAAGAGTCTGGAAACATCCTGGAAGGAGAATCCGTTCTCTGTGAAACATTTAATCATTGTTGTGTTCAGTGCATCTCCGTCACATCCGGTGGGGGCCGCCACGCAAGCAGTCACCAGGGAGAGAAGAGCTGTCATGGAAGGAAAGAAGAACTGAGATGGAAGGAAACAAGAACTGAGATGGAAGGAAAGAAGATCTAAGATGGAAGGAAAGAAGATCTGAGATGGAAGGAAAAAAGAAATTAGATGGAAGAAGAAATGAGAAGGGAGGGAAGAAAGATATGTTACCCAGGGAAAAAAAGAACTAAGATTGAAAAAAACGATAGACAGGTCTTCAGTAGCAATTCAATTCAATGGTGATGGTGGATATGTCTTGATTTCTATTTCTTTTGTTGCTAAACAAAAATATTACAACACACTTTTTGCTGATGTGTAAAAAAGGTAATAAGATCGGATGTGTAAAAAAGGTAATAAGATCGGATGTGTAAAAAAGGTAATAAGATCGGATGTGTAAAAAAGGTAATAAGATCGGATGTGTAAAAAAGGTAATAAGATCGGATGTGTAAAAAAGATAATAAGATCGGATGTGTAAAAAAGGTAATAAGATCGGATGTGTAAAAAAACGGTAATAGTTCGGTAAAAAAATATTCAGAAAACACATAGATAAAAGCTATAAATAAAAGTTCCTTAAAAAATTACATCAGTGCTTCTCAATTAGTTCATAATGGCGACACACATTTTAGACGAACTTCAATGGGCGACATAATATGGGTTTAAAATAAACCCATTTTTAGACTAAAACAAGCTCGCACTCAGCTCATCAGCTCACACCCACCTCTTTAGATCTCACTCAGCTCTTTAGCTCACACTTAGCTCTTTAGCTCACACTAAGCTCATCAGTTGGCACTCAGCAATTTAGCTCACACTCAGCGTTTTACCTCACACTTCGCTTTTAGCTCACACTCACCTTTTTTGGACCTCTTTTCAAATTTTGTACTTCTTTCGCTTTTCACCGTTTCCAATATACAACTTGTCTCCCTATTCCATAGCACACATTTGATGATACCGTATACCTCAATAGTTGTACCACTTAACAAGATAAACACACAACCACTTAACAAGACAAACACCCAACCACTTAACAAGGCAAACACACGACCACTTAACAAGACAAACACACAACCACTTAGCAAGACAAACACCCAACCACTTAGCAAGACAAACACCCAACCACTTAACAAGGCAAACACACGACCACTTAACAAGACAAACACCCAACCAATTAACAAGACAAACACCGAAACACTCAACAAGACAAACACCTAACCACTTAACAAGACAAACACACGACCACTCAACAAGACAAACACCCAACCACTTAACAAGACAAACAACGAAACACTCAACAAGACAAACACCGAAACACTCAACAAGACAAACACCCAACCACTTAACAAGACAAACACCCAACCACTTAACAAGACAAACACCCAACCACTTAACAAGACAAAAACCCAACCACTTAATAAGACAAACACCGAAACACTCAACAAGACAAACACACGACCACTTAACAAGACAAACACACAAACACTTAACAAGACAAACACACGACCACTCAACAAGACAAACACACGACCACTTAACAAGACAAACACCCAAACACTTAACAAGACAAACACACGACCACTCAACAAGACAAACACACGACCACTTAACAAGACAAACACACAACCACTTAACAAGACAAACACACGACCTTTCAACAAGACAAACACACGACCACTTAACAAGACAAACACCCAACCACTTAACAAGACAAACACACGACCACTCAACAAGACAAACACACGACCACTTAACAAGACAAACTCCCAACCACTTAACAAGACAAACACACGACCACTTAACAAGACAAACACACGACCACTCAACAAGACAAACACACGACCACTTAACAAGACAAACACCCAACCACTTAACAAGACAAACACACGACCACTCAACAAGACAAACACCCAACCACTTAACAAGACAAACACACAACCACTTAGCAAGACAAACACCCAACCACTTAACAAGACAAACACCCAACCACTTAACAAGACAAACACACGACCACTCAACAAGACAAACAACCAACCACTTAACAAGACAAACACACGACCACTCAACAAGACAAACACCCAACCACTTAACAAGACAAACACACGACCACTCAACAAGACAAACACCCAACCACTCAACAAGACAAACACCGAAACACTCAACAAGACAAACACCCAACCACTTAAAAGACAAACACACGACCACTTAACAAGACAAACACCCAACCACTCAACAAGACAAACACCGAAACACTTAACAAGACAAACACCAAACCACTCAACAAGACAAACACACGACCACTTAACAAGACAAACACCCAACCACTCAACAAGACAAAAACCGAAACACTTAACAAGACAAAAACCCAACCACTTAACAAGACAAACACCCAACCACTTAACAAGACAAACACCCAACCACTTAACAAGACAAACACACGACCACTTAACAAGACAAACACCCAACCACTTAACAAGACAAACACCCAACCACTTAACAAGACAAACACCCAACCACTTAACAAGACAAACACCCAACCACTTAACAAGACAAACACACGACCACTTAACAAGACAAACACCCAACCACTCAACAAGACAAACACACGACCACTTAACAAGACAAACACCCAACCACTTAACAAGACAAACACCCAACCACTTAACAAGACAAACACCCAACCACTTAACAAGACAAACACACGACCACTCAACAAGACAAACACCCAACCACTTAACAAGACAAACACCCAACCACTTAACAAGACAAACACCCAACCACTTAACAAGACAAACACACGACCACTTAACAAGACAAACACCCAACCACTCAACAAGACAAACACACGACCACTTAACAAGACAAACACCCAACCACTCAACAAGACAAACACACGACCACTTAACAAGACAAACACCCAACCACTTAACAAGACAAACACCCAACCACTTAACAAGACAAACACCCAACCACTTAACAAGACAAACACACGACCACTCAACAAGACAAACACCCAACCACTTAACAAGACAAACACCCAACCACTTAACAAGACAAACACCCAACCACTTAACAAGACAAACACACGACCACTTAACAAGACAAACACCCAACCACTCAACAAGACAAACACACGACCACTTAACAAGACAAACACCCAACCACTTAACAAGACAAACACCCAACCACTTAACAAGACAAACACCCAACCACTTAACAAGACAAACACCCAACCACTTAACAAGACAAACACACGACCACTCAACAAGACAAACACACGACCACTTAACAAGACAAACACACGACCACTCAACAAGACAAACACCCAACCACTTAACAAGACAAACACCCAACCACTCAACAAGACAAAAATCGAAACACTAACAAGACAAACACCCAACCACTCAACAAGACAAACACCGAAACACTAACAAGACAAACACATGATCACTTAGCAAGACAAACACACAACCACACAACAAGACAAACACTCTAAATACAACATTTAATTTTGTAAACCCGACCTCATCAGAGCAAACAAATTTCTGTGTAGCGTCTATCAGAGGAAACACATTTCTGTGTGCAGGATAAGCTCGATAACCTAGACCCCATTGTTTCACAGCTATTTACAATTTTAACGTACCATCTGCAGTGTTTTGTCAATAACTCTTCTCACCTAATAGCCACCGTTTTGTTAAAGTCTAAAATAATAGGTCAATGGATGTATGGTTTATTTTTCACGACTCACCTACACACTGCAAGTGACACACTATTGTGTTGTGACACACAGTTTGGAAAGAAGACACACGTGCACAGTAAATTGAATCTCTTACCAGGTGCACACAATTTTTTCTAGTTTTCTTCACTCATTGGTAACCCCAGCCTTCAATCAGTACTAACTAACACACATATTCTGGTGAAGTTCTGAGATAACTCTCTCATGACCCCGGCTAGTAAATTGGCTATCAACTCCATCTGTTGAGCTGAGCCATACAACATTTCCCTCACAAAGGATCCTCCAACCACCCTGGCTTCCCCCGGGAGATCTAGTGAGGGACTTTCGGTCAACAGGTGCTCTAGGGTCTCTGGGGCCCGGCTGCAGTGCCGGCAGGTAGGATCTCTGTTGTTATCCAGCCGCCAGAAATATGTTCCAATGGGGCAATGCTCGGTGTGCATTTGCGTCACTAAGCTTTGCTGTCTGCGGCCTAACCCCCACCGTGGGTCTTGTTTGCTAGGAGTTAGCAGGTTTGAAAAGACGCTCCTGGCGTTCGTGCTGTCTGCCCATTGCCTGTATCACTTCGTCCTGAAATGGTCCGCCAGCCAGCTCTTATTTCCCAAATAGGATAATTGTACTTCTGGCAGAGGCTGGGCAGCCCCGGTTTTCGCCGCTTCCTCATTGCCACTGACGTTGACATTGCCTGGGATCCACTCAGTGCTAACTCCAGTCTTCACTCTGTGCTAATACCCAGACTTTACTCAGTGCTACCTTACAGCCTTCACTCAGTACTAACTTAAAGCCTTCACTCAGTGCTAGCTTACAGCCTTTACTCAATGGTAACATCCAGCCTTCACTCAGTGCTAACACCCAGCCTTCACTCAGTGATAACACCCAGTCTTCACCCAGTGCCTTCACTCAGTGCTAACTTACAGCCTTTACTCAGTACTGAACACCCAGCCTTCACTCAGTGATGAAAACCCAGCCTTCACTCAGTGCTAACACCCAGCCCTCACCTAGTGCTAACACCTAGCCTTCACTCAGCGATAACACCCAGCCTTCACTCAGTGCTAACACCCATCCTCTACTCAGTGATAAATTACAACCTTTACTCAGTGCTAACACCCAGCCTTCACTCAGTGCTAACACCCAGCCTTCACTCAGTGCTAACTCCCAACCTTCACTCAGTGCTAGCACCCAGCATTCACCCAGTGCTAACACCCAGCCTTCAATCAGTGCTAACACCCAGCCTTCACTCAGTGCTAACTCCCAACCTTCACTCAGTGCTAGCACCCAGCATTCATCCAGTGCTAACACCCAGCCTTCACTCAGGGTTAACACACAGGGTTCTACAAATGAATCCATTTCATTACCTAACAAGTCAGAACTTGACTTGTTAAATTATTTACTAATAGCAGAAATGACTAACTATGATTTCAAACGTGTGCACTGCAGTTTAAAAAAATGTTTACATACCAATTGCAGCATGCAGTAGGTCCATTTGTCTATGTTCTGTTGTAGAATTCGATGTTTTGCAAAGCGGTTAAAAGTGCCTGGATTGAAGACTTGCAAGAGTAAAAAAACTCGCAGGTTTTTATAGATCTGTTGGTGCAATTGTGAAATGTAAAGTAGACTAGATCTCATCTGGAATTTCCCAAAGTCTAAACTGAGTTACTTGAAAATCAAATTTTAAACATTTTAAAATGTAGGACTAAAAAAACTTAAACAAGTTGTGATAAGGATATGTCAGTGGGTTTTTTATTTTTTATTTTTTAGTCTCTCATACTTTTTTTTATTGCTTTTGTTTAGACCACGTGAAATAATTGAGTCAGCCAAAGGTCAGGTAAGTATGTTGTCATAGAATGATTATAACTTACTAATCGTGGTCATAAAAACGTACATATGATTTTCTCAAATTCGTTTTTAGTAACGATCGTTAGTTACTTCCCATACAGCAGTCAGAGACATGTGGCTACAGAAACACGCCTGTTAGGGCCTACCTATGTGAACTCTGAACTCTGCATGTTTGAAATTAAAGTGCAATATTGACCATGGGAGATAAGAGGTTAAGGTGAATCCTTCCCACAGTTGGTGTTGATAAGACAAAATCTACACCAACTGGTGGGAGCTTTCTCAAATTTAAATAATGACTTAGTGAGGAAAGTCTACCGACAGCATAAACTCACCAAGGACATGTTAATTGAACACACAGTAATGGTAGTGAAAGTCGACCGACAGTATAAACTCACCAAGGACTTGTTAATTGAACACACTGTAATGGTAGTGAAAGTCGACCGACAGCATAAACTCACCAAGGACATGTTAATTGAACACACAGTAATGGTAGTGAAAGTCGACCGACAGTATGAACTCACCAAGGACTTGTTAATTGAACACACTGTAATGGTAGTAATAAAAGTCTACCGACAGCTTGAACCCACCAAGGACATGTTAATTGAACACACTGTAATGGTAGTGAAAGTCGACCGACAGTATGAACTCACCAAGGGCTTGTTAATTGAACACACAGTAATGGTAGTGAAAGTCTCGCGACAGCATGAACTCACCAAGGACATGTTGATGGAACACACTGTAATGGTAGTGAAAGTCTACCGACAGCATGAACTCACCAAGGACATGTTAATTGAACTCACTGTAATGGTAATGGAAGTCTACCGACAGCATGAACTCACCAAGGACATGTTGATGGAACACACTGTAATGGTAATGGAAGTCTACCGACAGCATGAACTCACCAAGGACATGTTAATTGAACTCACTGTAATGGTAATGGAAGTCTACCGACAGCATGAACTCACCAAGGACATGTTGATGTAACACACTGTAATGGTAATGGAAGTCTACCGACAGCATGAACTCACCAAGGACATGTTAATTGAACTCACTGTAATGGTAATGGAAGTCTACCGACAGCATGAACTCACCAAGGACATGTTGATGGAACACACTGTAATGGTAATGGAAGTCTACCGACAGCATGAACTCACCAAGGACATGTTAATTGAACTCACTGTAATGGTAATCGAAGTCTACCGACAGCATGAACTCACCAAGGACATGTTGATGGAACACACTGTAATGGTAGTAAAAGTCTACCGACAGCATGAACCCACCAAGGACATGTTAATTGAACACACTGTAATGGTAGTGAAGTCTCGCGACAGTATGAACTCACCAAGGACTTGTTAATTGAACACACTGTAATGGTAGTTACTAAAGGCCTTCAGCATAAACCCTACTCAAAAGGTGCAGACAGCCCAGGACAGAGCAAGGTGGAGAGCTGCTGTCAAGAAGGGGGCTAAATCCCATGAAGCTAATAGAATAACCACAGCTGAAACACGCAGGCTTGTCCGAACGAGCAACATTAGGTCATCGTTTGAAGCAACTATTCCATGCCCACGGTGTCATAGACTATTCCGAGCAAGGATAGATCTAACAAGCCACCTACGAGCTCACCGTAATCCCAACCCCCTCCCCCCCAGCCCCTAACCGGATGATTCGATGGTCCTAGTCGACTTCGACGGACGAACAACAATGGTAGTGAAAGTCTCGCGACAGCATGAACTCATCAAGGACATGTTGATTGAACACACTGTAATGGTAGTGAAAGTCTACCGACAGTATGAACTCACCAAGGACATGTTAATTGAACTCACTGTAATGGTAGTGAAAGTCTACCGACAGTATGAACTCACCAAGGACATGTTAATTGAACTCACTGTAATGGTAATGGAAGTCTACCAACAACTTGGCCCCATGGAGGTTTATAATAATTGTGTGTAACTTATGAGGGCTGAATGTGATGCTGGTCAAAATGTGGACACAAGAGTTTCTGATCAGGGCCTCTTCCATCTTTGTCTGTGATCTTCCGTTTCTCGGCTCCCTTCAAATTTCAACCAATATAAATGAGGACGTTAATCTTGCACTACATTTACTGCAGATAAGAGGGCTAACTCTTGACAAAAAGATAACCAAGGTACATGCGTTATGACTTCTTTAGCACTAAACTGGATCACATAAGGCTGTCACATAATGGTTGTCACAAAATGGCTGTCACAATAATTGTCACATAATGACTGTCACATAACGCTGTCACATAATGGCTGTCATATACTGGTTGTCACATAAAGATTGTCATATAAGGCTGTCACATAATGGATGTCACATAATGGTTGTCACATAATGACAGTCACATAATGGCTGTCATATAATGGCTCTCACATAATGGCTGTCACATAATGGCTGTCACATAATGGTTGTCACATAATGACAGTCACATAATGGCTGTCACATAATGGTTGTCACATAATGGCTGTAACATAACGGCTGTCACATAATGTATGACACATAATGGCTGTCACATGATGATGTCACATAATGTTTTTTTAACATAATGACTGTCACATATGGCTGTCACATAATGGCTGTCACATAATTTATGTCACATTATGGCTGTCACATAATGGCTGTTACATAATGGCTGTCACGTAATGGCTGTCGCATAATGACTTTCACATAATGGCTGTCACACATTGGCTGATACATAATGGATGTCACATAATGGCTTTCACACATTGGCTGACACATGATGGCTGTCACATAATGGCTGTAACATAATGGCTAACTCATAATGGCTGTCACATAATGGCTGTCATATAATGGATGTCACATAATGGCTGCCACATAATGGCTGTTACATAATGGCTGTCATATAATAGCTGTCACATAATGGATGTCACATAATGGCTGTCACATAATGGCTTTCACATAATGGCTTTCACATAATGGCTGTCACATAATGGCTGTCACATAATGGCT